ACACTTAATTAAAGATAAAATAAATATTGCCAAAACCTAGTAATATGACAATAGATGTAACAATAATACAGAAGTCGATCGATTTTTTTGCCTTTATTTTATATACTAAACAACCACTTATTTGCAAAACTTTATAGTTTTATTTTTGCCGGCTGATTTAGCGTACATTTGATGCAATTGCATAAGTTTTTTAAACTCCTGGTTCACCCAAATTTTGATAGATTTTCTTTATTTTGTATATTATACAACCACCTTTTTACAAAACTTTACAGTTGTATTATCATGGGCTCACTTAGCGTACATTTTATACAATTCAATTTCTTTCGTTATTAAACTCCTGGTTCATCAAAATTTTGATAGATTTTCTTTATTTTGTATATTATACATCCACCTTTTTACAAAACTTTACAGTTTTATTTTCATGGGCTCATTTAGCGTACATTTTATTCAATTCAATTTCTTTCGTTATTAAACTCCTGGTTCATCCAAATTTTGATAAATTTTCTTCATTTTGTATATGATACAACCACCTTTTACAAAACTTTATACTTTTATTTTGACCGGCTGATTTAGCGTACATTTTATTCAATTCCATAATTTTTGTTAAGTTATTGAACTCCTGGTTTACCCAAATTTTGATCGATTTTCTTTATTTTGCATATTATACAACCAACGTTTTACAAAAATTTACGGTTTTATGTGTGTTTCTTAGTGACGGTTGCAACCCAATTTGTTGAAGTTGTGAGGAGCGGTCAAGAATGAGGTAGTTTAGAAAAACCAATATGACACCACACTTTATGCCCTGAAGATGACCCGAATAAAGGCCGAAAAACGGCAAAAAATAAAAAAAGGGTTCTTTAATCTACCTCCCTCTTGACCGCTCCTCACGACTTCAATAACTACAGTTTTATTTTCAAGGGCTCATTTAGCGTACATGTTATTCAATTTAATTTTTTTCGTTATTAAACTCCTAGGTCATCCAAGTTTTGATATATTTTTTTCATTTTATATATTATACAACCACTACTTTACTAAACTTTACAGTTTTATTTTCATGAGCTCATTTAGCGTACGTTTTATTCAATTCGACTGTTTCGTTATTAAACTCCTAGTTCATCCAAATTTTGATAGATTTTCTTCATTTTATATATTATATAACCACTACTTTACTAAATTTTAGTTTTATTTTCATGGGGTCAATTAGCGAACATTTTATTTCATTCTATTTTTTCGTTATGAAGCACTTGTTCTTCCAAATTTTGATAGATTTTCTTCATTTTATATATTATACAACCACTACTTTAGTAAACTTTACAGTTTTATTTTCATGAGCTCATTTAGCGTACGTTTTATTCAATTCAACTTTTTCGTTATTAAACTTCTAGTTCATCCAAATTTTGATAGATTTTTTCATTGTGTATATCGGATCTTTTGAATCGACGACCGTGTAAATTGGATGTTTATTCTCGGATATTTCCTTTAATTTATTACACCCTCTGCTCATTTACCGAAATCACAGCCGTGTTGTCCTGCAATTGCTTCCGAAGAGGTCCAGGCGTAAATTCTACGAATAGCCGAATGAAGCAAACTTTTGCGGATTAAGTTGGTTGGAAACAAATCCACCCTCGGAAACAAAACCCCTCACACAATATTCCGCTCTTATCTTTAAAACCAAAAGCGGACGCTACGATGGGTTCTATCTCCACTCACGTCTAACCTGGAACCAACACACAAACAAAAAGAGAGGAATCATACATCGTTTGTGACTGCTCGACAATTTAAGATAGACAAAAACAATTTGACAATCTACACTTCACTACTGAACTACGAGGTACTGCAATACCTCCCAGAATTTAAAGGATCCTTCCAATCCGAAGTCCTCAGGATCACAGACAATGCTCCTTATTCTCCAACATTTCCCTTCACAATGACCTCAAAATCCCTCTCGTGTAAAAAAATAATATATTATTTATATATATATATATGTATATAAAAACATATTCCACCTTCCACAATAAACTCCCTTCTTGCCCCAGTCGTGTTGCCCAATCCTTATCCAATAGAAACCATCCCTTTAATCAAGAAAACAAAAAAATATTTCAGACTTTCAAATCCAGAATCACCGTCAACGCTCCGACACCAACCTCCACAATGTCCTCAAACTATCCTTTGAAGATCATCAATTCTGTACAACTTTTCAGATACCAGGAAAAGCTCTCCGCCCATCCTAAACCATTAGCCCAATCCCCGTCCACTAGCACCCATATAACACCGTCTACCATGTCCACCATAAAGTTCCTATGACCCCGAGATCATGTCATCCCCCAAGACAGCTGAACAGAGTGAAATGTAAATTGTAAATAATTTTTGTGTTAACGAACAAAAATCACAAAATGAATATGTCTCAACCAAGACCTTTCATAGAAAGAATAATTAATTGAAAGAAGTACCATGGTCAATTGACCACTAAAGCGTAAATGGATAAATATTTAATAAGTAAAAGAAGTATCACTTCACTAAACAGCTCCCCGTAGCCATTTCATAAGTCGCTTAAAATCCAATCCTGATTACACGACATTCGAAAATGGCAAAAAAGGGAAAATTCAAACGGTTGTAAGTTGAGATGGAGAGTTGATGTCCGAGTGGATCGAGGTCACGATAGGTCAGGTGGTAGAGCAGCGGCGTATTTAGCCGAAGGTCGGGGGTTCGAATCCCGCTCGTGCCACTGACTTTTTTTTACCTCAACTAAGACCTTACATAGAAAGAATAATTAATTGAAAGAAGTAACTTGGTCAATTGACCACTAAAACGTAAATGAATATATTATGTTATTCAGCCGGTTATAAAATAAAAATATGTTTATTATATTAAATACTATTTATAAAACTAGGATTAGATTTTAGCTTGATAGTTTCATAGTTTAGTGTACATTTAAAGGAAAAATAGAAAAAAAATCTCATCAAGAATATTTTTAGATACAAAAATGACATTAAAATAAAGGTACTGTTGTGTGAGTGTGTTTTGAGAATATAATTGATATGGACCAAGAAATACAGGCAATTGAAGTATCCAGTCAAAAAGTAAGATAGCACTAAAAACTATGCAATAATAAAATTTTTAAATAAAATGCCACTCGATAAAAGTGCGTTTCGACAGAATCAGAGCAGCATAACTTTAGTAAACATGCGATGAAGGGTTTTATTATTTGATAGTCAATAGTTATTAGACATGTAAATTAGACGGTTGTTCTCGAACGGTCACCCATGGCCGATCGCGGTAGTTCCTCGGCACTAGTGAAAGCGTCAATGTCCGTTACTCCCTCAATTGTTTTTTCTTTCTCCCTCTTTTGAATTATTCGCTATCCTCTTATATCACGAATATTCACTAGAGATCACGTTATAGTTTGAGTAAGAGTTGTACGTCCGAGAGCTTTAGTGATATGCACTTTTTTATGAAGGTGAAATTTTTCTTAGATTCAAAATATATTTAGAGACTTAACGTTATTGTAGCGAGTTAATCAATGTATTAGTCTATATATAAATGATTGTAATAAGTTGTAATTTCGCTAAGTTGTATTAGATCATACATTTTACAAAATCCGTTCGTATCGCTTTAGCGAGTTACGTGTTTATCCGTTTATTCATCGGTTTATCCATTTTGAAATTTCCTCGGAGGCAAGGTGAAAAGGATGTTGCCCGTGTTTCGTCAAAACCGACATACTGACAGCCGCGGTTGGCAAACAGTCGGCCTCACGGTCGCACAGGCCTGGATACACAAAGACAAGATCTGATACCCCGCCATGAGACCTGTGAACAATGGTACGAACCTGAAAGCTCTGAGACCCGAACCTTGTTAAGAATTAAGCCGTTTTTTCCGACTGGTCTCTTTCAATTTAAGCCAAATGGGGAAAAATATTTGTAAGCCGGATCTATGACTAAGTCCAGCGGGAATCCCAACGGCGTAGTAACGAGACGATATTTCTGATTGATATTTGGATAGAGAAAAACCACTATCAATGCTCGTCTTAATTGAGATCGAACAGTGTCATTAAATGAATATATTTGACTAATTTAATTAGAGTTTTGAGTAATAAGAGTTTTGGTATAAATGGTATAGTAACAATTGCACTGCTCTATAAATAGGATACAATTAAAATTATTGTGTAGTTTTTCAGAAGAATTTCAAAAGGGGCGGATTGTTTGATTGTAACATTACGGTATATTTTAATGGGAGGACTTACATTTAAAACTTTAAGGGTAAAATTTCTATGATAAAGTCTAATTTATCTAGCCAACAGGATCAGCAATCCAAATTCGGATCCTGTACTATCGACAAATTTTGGATAGAAAGCAAAATTTGGATTGATCTTTCTCGAAAGAGATAATTCATCTAAACTTAAAAGTTTTCTTTTTGGAAACACGACATTAAATCATTAGTAACTTGCCAAAGAATTTACTCTTTCTTTTGTTTAAGTAAAAAACAATTGTTTTAACATAAAGCATGAACGGTTCGCACAAACCTCTAGAGTTTCAACTTCTGGAATATGTTATATAGTGGTTTTAAAAATTTTGCCATTATCTAATTTTTGACTTAAAAATTATTTATCTATCGGAAGCATTATCTGACAATTCGTTTTTAGTTCTCTAAATCATGTTCTATAAATAGTCTAAAGACACAATAATTTTATTATTATTATTATCTATTAACTATCAGAACTGTTTACAATAAATATAATGTATTGAGTTATGTATTTTCTGTATTGATTTGTGTCAATGATATCTTGAAGCGGCAACATCATTTGGCACCAAAGCTGTCTGATATAACTGAGAAACCATCTTGTTTTTTAAAGCATTAAATGGAGAAATTTTATAAAATTCCTTCACGAAAAGAAAAAATGTTTCTTGATGTTATATTATTAGTAGTATTATTTTAAATAGTTTTTGATCGAAAAAATATTCATGTTGCTAATTCATGCAAATGTTAGAGGACATGTTACATACCACATCATGAGATGAGTTCGTTTAAAGAGAGTAAAACCAGATGATGATGATGGTTTTGTGAATTGTCGTCAAACACGTTTTCTAAGGCACAGGATGGGAGGCGCGGTCCTTCTTCATTAATAGTTCGCCGATGACTGGCTTCAGCTAGCGGCTGAAGAGAAGGCGTTTTCCCCACCACGAAGGATTCCTCAGCCGTTTCCTTTTTTTTTCTTCCCGCCGTCGATTAATCCATCAACTTATTGTACGACTGACGTACATGTGTTGACTATTTGGGTTGGGTTTTTTCCCAAAATGGATGTTTTACCTAAATTTTTTATCAACTGACATAAATCCTCTTGGGGACTGCGGAGTTATGAAGGATCGTTTCTGATCATTTTGGTCTATCAGACGGGTTTCAAACCGGCACTGGAGATGGCAAGAAGAAAGACCAAAAAAGCAAGTATGTGCAAGCCAAAATATTCATTAACGACCAAACTAATAATAAACAGTTAAAAAATTCAATGAAAAACAGCGCTGATTTTTAAAAACTACAAACCCAAAGTGAAAATACATAAAAAACGACTAAGCTCGGTCAAATTAACAATAACCACCACATATATCAAAATTTAGAGGGATTGTTGCGTGTCGATGGATGATAGGAATGGTAACTTGAGCATTCAAACTAGAGTTAAGTAAGGCTTTTTTTTATCTCCAACCCTATTTTCGATATACGTTTTTGGCGTTTGAGGAACCAGGAAATCATTCAAGGAATGATTAATTCTTCAAGAATTTACTGTAAAGTTTGATATTTTAATGGTATGTCTGGAAAAATCGTTTCGTTGAGAAACAGGAGAAGCAAGCCAATATACAGAAACTGTACAAAAAATTAAAAACTTCCCAGGCTTTTTTACTCCTTTATTTTCCTTTACAAATATGTAGCTAATTGTTCGTTTTTTGTAATTATTGAGATCCTCTGCAACTCAGGATGCTTTGTCATTGTTGTTTCTGCTACTTATTTTAAGTTAACACTTTCGTTAACTTATTTTTAATGTATATAACTAGTTAAATAAAAAGATAAAAACAAACACTTAAAAAAAATTCAATTAAGCCAAGTTTGAGTTAAATTACACTTGATCCAGATTAACCCAAGTTCGAAATGTGTCTTTGACACTTGTATAATGGTATAGTCAGTAGGATGATGAAAAATAGATCATTCCTATCATTTATCCAAAAAATTCCTTGCGTTCTTTCGACTATCCCTTTCTCAACAGTAATTGTTTTTGGTGTTCTTCAAGGCTGCATCCTATTCCTTACATATGTTAACACAATACCACATCGAAATAACGTAAAAATGGCACTTTACGCTGATGATATTGCACTCTACTCTTCCTCTTGGAGCATACATACAATTGAACAGGTCTAAAACAACGCAGGTTTCCGCAATCGTTAGAAAATTAAAATTAATCATATTAATACGGAGGCAATAGTTTTTAGCAAGCAACTTTGAATAATGTTCAAATTGCAGTGCCTGAGTCGTACCGGCAGAATCTTCTGCCAAATAAGTACTTTAAAGGACGAAAGGTACGTGCTTAGGAGAGTAAAGAATGCCCCTCCCTCTTACAATTCGGCTTTTCCCAGATAGTAATGTAATAAATCATGTATTGCAACATAACTAGCTGAAGGTATGTGTACATTGATAACATATTTACAAAGGAGTTTATGTTCTATTCTTGGTCCGGATTAGTCCAAGCTTGAAATGTATTATTTTTGTTATTACATTACTATTAAAACTTCTGCAAAAAATTGAAAATTTATTTATCAGTGTAGTGCCAGGCTGTGCTCTTTGTCCAAGATTATCTTGTCTAATTGCAAATATTTCTCATGGTATGAACATAAAAAAACTAAACTTCAATATTTCAACGATATAATAATAAAATAGAGGTAGGACGTCAGCATAATAGCAAGCATTTTGATTAAACTCCCTTCGTGCAAAGTACGTCGTCATCGTGTAGGCAACGTTCGTTATACGAGCCTTCGCTAGACGGTAAACGCGATGATCAGGGATGATAAAACTTGATAAAATATGTGACTGCGTTACAAATCTAGGCCATTCTTCTGAAGTCAAGAACAGCTGAACCTAGAAGACCCTGAAGATTTGGTTGTTATTAAAACTATTAAGAAAATGATATTCACAAAATCTTAAACTACCCTTTAAAATNTATATATATATTAAGTAACGTAAGTATATATACTTTTTTTAATCAACAAGTTGTCTGTTTATTTATTATTTGAATGATGAAAAGCTTGATGGGTGCTGGTTGCAAAATGATGTGTTTAAGCCAATATTTTTCTGTTTATAAGAGATTTACAACAGTGGTACCCAGTGTTTAGTTTAAAAATGGTTTAAATTATAAATGTCTGTAATCAAAACAAACAAGTTCTTCATATCATTTACACCAAAATTCCGATGCCACCACTTTAATTTTACCAGAAAGGTTTTTAGACTTAACTAAGATTCTTTTCTCTTTCTTTTTGTTTCTTGTGGTTTGGAAATTAGGGTTGATGAAGGTATGTATAATTATCCCCACACCCATTTGTGTAATTAATGATGTAACTTGATTTATAGTCTTTCCTCGTTACATCGCAATATACTGTACGAATTTGCGCATCTGAAATGATGAATGGACTTATAAAACGAAGTCCCTCCTCAGAATAGCGTTCGACTCGTGAAAGATGTGTATCGGTGTGAAAACATCGAGTGGGACCGATCTTGACAAAGTAGTTTTTCAAAACTAGACCTTGTACGAAGCCCATATCGAACTATCTGAGAACAAGTGGACCATCAATCATGGACAAGGCGAGGCGAAGTAGTCGACGCTACGAATGTAAAGTTGGACTCAAATATATTCCATAATTTGTTATTTATTTGACTTCAGAATTTTCAAATTTTTGTAATAATACACATTGAATTGTACATTTTAGGCTCTGTCGGACGTAAGGAATTATATTCTCTATTTTTATTTTACATAAAGTTGCACAATTTGGCAAATACACGAATGTGGTTTGTATTGCAAGAAATTGCATCATTGAAGCAATTTCAAAGTTAAAATTGTCAATGCTTGCAAAAAAAATGCTCTTTTTTCTGATCAGTTTACTAGCTCTTTCTTAGAATCTTAGAATTGGGATTGGAGAGATAGATTCGACCTTAGATATCTTACAAGATCACTAGGTTTCAATTTCAATTCTTACGTTTATTTACAGATCAGTTTATTTTTTATAAAGAAGAAATCATAAAGAAAGTACGACTGGTCGATTTAGTGGCACATGGTATTTTTTCCATAGTCCTTTCCATCCGCAACCACAATTGGTAAAAATTTCTTTGGACTGACTTACACGGTCCGCTACCACTGGTTTCTTCAAATATCAGATCACGTCTAGAAAATCTCACGATCTTGGTTATTTGTACACACGAAATCCAAAATATTATCAAGTCGTATTATTATTTGAAAAAGAAAAATATTATAAGATAACAATTTACAAATGTTGATAATCGATAGTGGATTCCAAAGCATTAGATGCAAACATATTTCAATGCAGTGACAATCAGAATAATATCCAAATATTTCGCTAGAAATTTCACTTAAGTTATTACAAGCAACGAACTAATGCTAGAATAGTCCATATTCAGGGTCCTGTGCTTCATTATATGATGAAATTTTCAACGGTTTGCTGTTTGCATGTGAACCTGTAATAAAAGTAGAATAATTAAAGCATAAAATCTACATTTTGCTGTCTTTAAATTTTTAGCACTCCTTTTTCACCGACTGTTCATTACCGGCTGAACTTTGTTCAACCTTGTCATTGCCGCCTATATGGTAAAACTGTTCACCTCTGACATTTGCCAATTTTTCTGGTATTTAATTGATATAATTATAATAATATTTAACATTTATTTTAATAATGAAGCATTTAAATGAACGTTCAATCTATTCGACGAAAATTTTACAATAAATAATTATATCTACTCGCATGGACTTTTCCAACAAATTATTAGACGTTATAAAAGCAAAGATAATTTCATATTAAATATAGTTTACTGAAGATTTTCTTTTTAAATGTACATGAAATATGATAAAAGATTGTTCTGATGTCGAATTCACAATTTGCTCAATGAAAACTCGTAGAAATGTTACAATGTTAAATCGACAAAACCAATCGAGTGCGTTAAGAGCATGGTTGAACCTAGAGGCTCATGAGGCTCGTTTGGTCAATTCCCCAGAGCATACAAGTTATTAATGTTCCACGTATTCTTATGTATTCCTATATACATAACGTTCCATTAAGTAGGATGATTTACTTGATATACCGTCATCTGCTCTCTCAAACTGCATTCATGTCAACTTCAATCCTTAACCTTGCTGGAGGTATCTATCTATTGGCAGGAATCATTTACAAACTTATAACTGACGAAAAAAACATGTATGCTTGTATGCTGTACACTGTAGATCATTTGTTTCAAAACGCGCTGCTAGGTTCTGGATATCTCATATCAATGTCATGCCTACTGGGTAAGTGTACATAGCCAATTCATAACCTTTCAGTCAAATGAGATACACTGCAACGTCTCTGTACGTACCTTAATTCTTAGAATATTAAACAAAAATAACAAATGTTAACATGAGGTCTCTGCTTGGAGGGAGAGGAGGTGATTATACAGGTGGGATTTAAAGGAGGAAAAGGAGGCAGCGTGACGAATAGAAAGGGGAAAGGAGTTCCAGAGTTTAGGGGTTCGAATCAGAAAGGATCTTTCGAAGGTATGGGTTGTATGTTGCGGAAGGATAAGATCGATTGGGGATGAGCGGGTTTTACGAATGAGATGTGAGGAGTTGAATTGGAGGGATTGGATGATGTAAGGAGGACGACGAGTGTGGATGGACTGGAAAAGAAAGCAACCTAGGAAATACTGTACACGGAAGGAGGGGAATAGCCAGGAAAGTTGGAAATACAACCCCGACACCCGGGATCCCCGTGGAGTGCCGTACACAAATCTTACGCAACAATTCATAATACGCTTCAAACGCGCATTCTCCCTCTCCGAGAGACCACCGTGTGCCAAACAGCTATAATCGAAGAAGGGAAGTATAAGGGAGGA